TTTTAATCGAAAATAATATTTTGTAACTAAAATGTGAGTTGTTCGCAAGCCTGGTGCGAGTTGTCGTCGATAGGAGGCTCGTCCCAATTAACACCCATAGGTGCAACTGTGCCAAAAGCGTGTCGAACAACTCAATCTTGAGTGATCCGACATATTTTAACGTAGGTATGGCACCCATGTTAGTCACACACTATACACACAATGATGGCCATTTGATCTAATAACATTGAGTCCTAAAATATTGGTTAGTAAAACTTAGCTAAAGTGATGAGAATGAAATCTTATCAAGTTATTTTTGGTCCGAATCTCACGGAGTGTAAGGGTGAAATTCAATGTTCAGCCTAATTTTTTCTTTCTGTCTTAACTAGAAAATTCGGAGGCCCAAGTTTTAAATATGGGCTTTTGACTCTTCATCCTCCATTTGAATGGATTATTATGGGCTAGATTTATATTAAAAAGAGAATATGGAGGCCCACTTTTTTATCATGGGCTTTTAATTCACAATTCTCTATGGGGATTATCATATTTTTAGGTGTTTATTGAGTAAAATAAACCTTGGTCCCTAGAAGAATTCAAAATTTAAGTTAAACTCAACAATTAATTCAGTATCATATTTTATGGAAATCACGAATTTTTAACCACAAAATCTATCTATTTTATTAAAATATACTAAAAATATAATTTTATCTAAATCAAATTGGGACATATTAATCAAGTTTTAGATTAAATTGATAAATACTTTGCTAATTTAGATCTCAATTTGTTTGTACTGGAGATCAGTTTTAAATGATTTGACAGTTTCTTCATCTAGTTGTGAGTCCTATGGAAGTCTCGTGCAATTTTAACTTCTACATTGACGGTTTTGGTTCACTAGAGAACCTAAATTTATCAATTTAAATCTCACTTTAATTTTGAGGACCTATAAACACATTATGTAAAACATTGAGGATCTCAATTCTAATTTATTTCAAGCTTCAGAACATCCCACCTTCTTTTACTATAGTCACAGCTCATTCCGAGACCTACATTTCATCTAAAATTATGGGCCGTCGATCAATAAGTTCATAAGAATTGGACGTCCGGATTTGACTTTGACACAGTAATGGACAATGACCCCCGTCACCCTCCCACCAGCTCGAAGAATACAGAGAACGCAGACACTTCCTATCTCTCTTCTTTCTCTCTCTAAACTGTTTCCAACAAGACAACACTAACCAAGACTTTTGTGTAAAGCTGCATCATTAAATAAACGGTTCTGAAGCTAATATATGCTAAATTCACAGCCTCCCAGATTAAGAAAAGTATTTGGGGTATGTTCTAAGTCTTTTTGTTTTGTTTTACTTTCATCAGTAGGTGCATTTTTTTCTCTCCTTTTGATTTCTTGAATTTGATGGTTTTTTTTTCTGGTATTTATGTTTCGTCAGTTGCTATTGGAATAAATTTTATTGGGATTTCTGTTTTCTTGCTTGAATTGTTTAGTGACTGGTATTGATTGATTTATGGGGTTCTGTATTTCTGTAAAATGTTTTGTAGGGTTTGATTAAGCTCAAGTTTAAATTGAAATAACGTTAATTAAGAGATTTTTTTTCTCGAAATTATCGGATCTCTTCAAGTATTTAATACTTCTATGTTTCTTTATTTGCTTCAGTGGGTGAACTGAAATTTCTATGATCATGGTGTGATAATCTATGGGGTATGAGTTGCTAGAAAGCAGTGGCGGAACGGCGGTGGGGGCATGACCCACCATTTTTTTGACCTTTTTTTTAATTATTAAAAAATCACCTGAAATAAACCCTGCCTCGTCATTTTCCCCCAAATTGAAAAATTTCCAGTCTTCCTCCACCACTCCAGCAGCCTGCCTCGAGATTTCAGTTATCTGTCTCGCCCGTCGGCTTCTACTGCCCGTCCGCCTCTACTGCCCGTCCGCCTCTGCTCTGCGGTCTCCCTCACCCTCACCGACACCAGCACCGGTCTCCCTCTCCGGTCTGTCTCTCTGTTAGTGGAAGGGAAGGGAAGGGCAGGGAAGGGAAGGGGGTTGTTGAACTTCCTCTGTTTAGTTTAAGTTCGAACTTGTTTAGCTTCTTTTTAACATTTGTTTTAGTTGCTTCTGTGCGCGGGTTCTATTGGGAGTTTACAGTGTGGAACTCTTGGCAATTTGGAGTTTCCTCTGGCCAATTGTTCGCTACCCAGATGTGGGTTGTTAACGGTTGACTGCAGTGCTCCGCAAAATCCAAGAATTCGCACGAGTTTACAGTGTGGAACTCTTGGCAATTTGGAGTTTCCTCTGGCCAATTGTTCGCTACCCAGATGTGGGTTGTTAACGGTTGACTGCAGTGCTCCGCAAAATCCAAGAATTCGCACCATCCTATGATATTCTGGTCAAGTTTTCTACCAATCTAGTATTGATTTGAAATCAATTTCTTCAAGGTTATTTAGATAATAATTATGAGGAATATGCCATTTATTTCTTAATTTCTTTATGCCAGACTCTCCTTCTATTTCCATTTCATTCTTCCCCAATATAACAATGTTCAAATGCACCAAATGTATGAACTACGACAATGAGATACCTAATTTCCTGTAAAATTGTAGAATGTATAAGGTTTGTAGTTTCTGATGAAATGCGAATTTCCTTTTGAGGTAAAGTTAGAATTCATAGTAGAACCTTATGAGATATATAGGGAGAAAGTCGTTGACAGAAAGATCTGTTTGGCAAATATTATCTCATATGATTAAGTCTTAATATAGTCTAAATCCAACACTTTTTACTATTATAATAATTAGTTTAAATTATTTCTGGTATAATCTGCCCTTCCGAAAGAAAAGAGCAATGTGTGGTCACATCTGTTGGATCAACCTGCTACTTGAAATTAATCAATAAAATTCCATCTTTTTTTGTGTTTTTTCTTTTATTTGTCCACTACTTATTATATTAGTTTATATCATTATACGAAATAGTTGGTGAGCATTTTAATTGTGATTTTGATTGCAAACAGCTATTGTTATATTACAACCATTACTTTCTCAATTAATTCGTTCAAATGTCTTATCAAATACGGGTTAACTGACTAATATGACATTACACGATCTCATGAATTCTTGGGGTTTTCACATGCCATAAAGTTGCTGTTCTATGCTGTGAAATTTGAACTTTGCTTGAAGAAACTGACATTGTCCAATTTTTGAGTGTTAGGTTATCCCCTTTAGGTGCTTTGACCGAGTCTTTAATAGGTGTATCGGTAACATGTGTTTGATCAAATTGGTTCTATCTCCCATCGAATGACGTTTGACTCCTTAATCAATAATATTAATTGATTGAAGGTTTACCGTGAATCTGTGTCAAATATCCTACTACTCACTTCATGGACATTGTTAGCTTTTCAATCTCATTCTTTGTCTAGAAAGGTGTACACTGCTTTCCTTGATTGAGCTTTGGAAATCAGAAGTAGAATTTCCGTTTCAGTGCTTCTTGGTTTGTAATTGAGGTTTTTGCTTCTGAAGATAATGGATGGGCAATGAATTAGATGTCGCACCAATACTTGGTTACCATCTTGAGACATTAATAGTAAGAAGGCCAACCGGTTTGCATCATATTTTTTTGTATGTTCTTTGTTTGCTTCATAGTTTAGTTTAATTTTGCTCGATTGCTAGTAAAAGCTCAAGTTTGGGAGTGTTTGATAAGTGTAAATTATACACTTATCTCGGCTTTGCTACGAGGCTTTTGTTAGTGTTTAGAGTAGATTTATGTTGAATTTTGGTACTTTTTTCATTTCTTTAGGACGAACCCCAGGCTTTGATGATGTTGGCGAAATTGATGAAAAGAAACGGAAAAAACTTGCTTAGATGGTATTGGAATGAAGTGGAAAAAGAAAGAAGCAAAGAGAATAGCTAAATATGTGTAGCACATTGGGGAAATTAGAGCACCAAGTTTGATACATAGTTCTTCACAAGACATGATATACTATTGTAAGTATTATCGAGTTAGGAAAACAACACATATACGGATCTCAATTCGATGTTTTCAAGACAAAGTTATGCGTGTTTTGGAGTTGCAAGGCTGAGCAGGCACTGGTGCTCAAGTTGAAAATTTATTGCTTGCAACTTTTTCACAAATTTTTTGGATATTTAATTTTGCTCCTCTAACTCAAAATGTCTACGTCTGCCACTGCTAGAAAGTTTATCTTAACCAAAGTATAGAAATTTATCACAATCTAAACAATTTTATCCATTATTTACGCCTACGTGCAAGTTTCTTTGTTACTAATTGTTGTTGATCAATCATTCGTTACTTTTGCGGTGGAAACTATAGAATATTAAAATTATAGACATTTGGCAATAAGCTTGGGCTTGCCGTCCAGATCAGCAATCCAGGGTATGTAGAAAAAGGAAGAATTAGGATTTTAGCGTGGATTTTTTGTTAAACTTTTCCGACTTTGTATATTGCTGGGCTATTTCGTGTAGTTGGTCCACTGGGATAGTTGTTGACAAGTTTACTTTAAAACTTATTCTCACTGTATCAGTCGTTTTCCAGTATCAATCCTTTTATGGTGAGCATTGATAAATTTACTTTATATTCATTTCTACAAGTATGTAGACAAAGCAAGAGTTAGGGTTTTAGCAGGGATTTTAGTTAAATTTTCTGACTTTGTATATTGCTAATCTATTTCGAGTAGTTATTTAGCTGGAATACTTGTTTACAAGTTTATTTTAGAACTTATTCTCACCTTATCTGTCTTTTTCTAGTATTAACCAATGTATGGCAAGCATTGATAAATTGCTCTATATTGATTTCTACAAGTATGTACCCGAAGGAAGAACTAGGGTTTTTGCTTAAAATTTTCTGACTTTGTATGCTCATCCATTTGGAGTTGTTATAAAATTAGCTTATCACTATTTCTTGTATCAATGCTTATATGGTGAGCATTGATAAAGGTATTCTGTATTCGTTGCTACAGGTATGTAGGCAAAGGAAGAATTAGCGCTAAGGTCATTCATTTAGCATGGAGGCCTGCAATTGTATTGAGCCACAATGGCCAGCTGATGAATTGTTGATGAAGTATCAGTATATCTCGGATTTCTTCATTGCGTTGGCTTATTTTTCTATCCCATTGGAGTTGATCTACTTTGTTAAAAAATCTGCAGTATTTCCATATAGATGGGTTTTGGTGCAGTTTGGGGCATTTATTGTTCTCTGTGGAGCAACACACCTGATCAATTTATGGACGTTCACCATGCACTCAAGAACGGTGGCAGTTGTCATGACCACTGCAAAAATTATGACTGCTGTTGTGTCGTGTGCTACTGCCCTTATGCTAGTACATATCATCCCTGATTTATTAAGTGTCAAAACGAGGGAGCTATTTTTGAAAAATAAGGCTGCTGCACTAGATCGAGAAATGGGATTGATCCGTACGCAGGAAGAAACTGGTAGACATGTTAGAATGCTAACTCATGAAATCAGAAGCACTCTTGACAGACATACCATACTGAAAACCACACTTGTTGAGCTGGGAAGAACGTTGTCCTTGGAAGAGTGTGCGTTATGGATGCCAACGCGTACAGGACTAGAGCTTCAACTTTCTTACACTCTACATCACCAAAACCCAGTTGGATTTACTGTACCTATAAACCTTCCAATGATCAACCAAGTGTTCAGTACAAATCGTGCAGTGAAAATCTCACCAAGTTCTCCTGTGGCTAGACTTCGACCTTCTGGAAAGTACATGCCTGGAGAAGTGGTTGCTGTGCGTGTCCCACTCCTGCATCTTTCCAATTTCCAGATTAATGCTTGGCCTGAACTTTCAACCAAACGCTATGCTTTGATGGTTTTGATGCTTCCTTCGGATAGTGCTAGGCAATGGCATGTCCATGAGTTGGAGCTTGTTGAAGTGGTGGCAGATCAGGTTTGATTCCAAAACGTCTCTTTTCTTGTTACAAGTGATTTGATTGGAAAATTTATTGTTTATTCTTCAATGTTTCTAGCATTTTCTACTTAAATCTATATGATTGTGTAGAATTTTTGGGAGTGATTTTGTCAATCTATACAACACTGCTTAAGACTATAATAGCTAATCTAAATAAAATGAGATACTGTAGGAGTAGAGCAATCTCCTTTCCTTTTTCTTTACTGTTGGCAATGGGTCATATATTTATGCAAGAGTAGTAATCTTAGCTTTCCTTTCCAAAGCTGATATGCTCCATTAAAACAAAAGTGATGATTGTTTGGAAAAGTTCTAGTATTTTGACAAGGGTTTTACTTATTGGATTCATTCTATCTATTTCTCCTTAACGCATAAGCAGGAAAATAATAAAAATTGCGATTAGGAGGAGAACCTAAGACATGAGGTTGTATGTGTCTATTATATAAAAACATTAATGGTTGAGAATTCTGAGGCAAGGTGTATCTTCTTATTTGTACTGCATTCTGCTTTCAATCCACACGAAATTGGATATGAAGTTCGTTAATGTACAGTTTTTTATTTGATATATTTGTTGTTGAATCAGGTGGCTGTTGCTCTTTCACATGCTGCAATTCTGGAAGAGTCTATGAGGGCAAGAGATCTTCTTATGCAGCAGAATGTTGCTCTTGATCTCGCAAGAAGAGAAGCAGAGACGGCTGTTCGTGCTCGTAATGATTTCTTAGCTGTTATGAATCATGAAATGAGGACTCCCATGCATGCCATCATTGCACTTTCATCTTTATTACAAGAAACTGAGTTGACACCTGAGCAACGTCTGATGGTTGAAACAATCCTCAAGAGCAGTAACCTTTTGGCTGCACTTATCAATGATGTATTAGATCTTTCGAAGCTTGAAGATGGTAGCCTTCAACTTGATATGGGACCTTTTAACCTTCATGCACTCCTTACGGAGGTAGGATTGTACGATATTTGTTGGTAACTTTTGTTTTAGATCAGTCTTTGAAAATGAAACAAATCATAGTGTACTTTGGCTGTCCTGCTTGATGTATCTGTCTAACTGAGATGTCTGCTTCTTTTTGCAGGCCCTCAACTTGATAAAGCCTATAGCATGTGTGAAGAAGTTGTCCATTACGTTGAGCTTGTCTTCAGATTTGCCAGAGTATGCCATTGGTGATGAGAAGCGGCTAATGCAAGTTCTTTTAAATGTAGTAGGGAATGCTGTGAAGTTCTCAAAAGAGGGCAGCATCTCCATATCTGCTTTTGTTGCAAAATCGGAGTATCTTAGAGATCCTCAAGCCCCTGATTTTTTCCCCGTACCAAGCGATAACCATTTCTATTTGCGCGTACAGGTTTGTGTCTTCATGCCTAATTAATGTACTTTGCTAAAAAATGATTATACTTCTTTTTGGGTTGATTATGATTACACTCTCTGTTACGTAGGTAAAAGATACAGGATTAGGAATTAACCCCCAAGATATTCCTAAGCTATTCACAAAATTTGCTCAAAATCAACCTCTGGCTACCAAAAACTCTAGCGGTAGTGGGCTTGGTCTTGCAATTTGTAAGCGGTAATGTCTTCACGGCTTCTTCTCCTGCAATATTGTCTTTCTTCTGAGCCATACAACCTTAAAATTGGAGTTTCTGCATTTTTGGTAGTTTTCTACTTTTTGGTGTTAACCACTACCCCTGGCGTGACCAGGTTTGTAAATCTCATGGAAGGACAAATTTGGATTGAAAGTGAAGGTCTAGGCAAGGGAACTACTGCTATCTTTATCGTGAAACTTGGATTTCCTGGACACTCAAATGATTCAAGGCTCCCATTTGTGCCCAGAGTTCCAGGAAATCATATTCTGACAAACTTTTCAGGGCTCAAAGTTGTTGTGATGGATGATAATAGGTGTGCTCCTTTTACCCCTTGCATTTTAGCCTCTGTTTGGATAAAATTATAAATGATTTCTAAATGGTCAAAATTCCTCTTTAATTGCACTTTTCAATGGACCCACCACTTTTTAACCACATGCTCCATTTAAAGATCATTTATAATTTATCCAAATGGAGGCTTAGATTTTATCCTTGTTAGTTGTGATACAAATTTCTATTTGGCTGGTGTGATGACTGAACATGCACAAGTTTCTACAATAGAACCAGAGTAAAAGATGAGATGGGCTGGAAGTATCTTGTAGACTAGAAAGGCATTTTTTGTGTGTACTGGGGGGATACACCTTCTCTATGCCCTCAATATTTGGCACCCTATATCAGGAGAACAACAGAAGTGGTCAATGATCCTTGCCTTAAATATTGCCGCTCTAGCAGGAATTAGAATAGGCAAAAGCTCATCCTGCAAGTCTTTATTTTTCATTTGAATCTATGCTCCCTGTCTTTCCTCGCTTTTTTATTTTTATACAAAAGAATGGGTTTCACATCATATTGTTGTCCTTGATATGGAATGTTGCATCAGAGCACCCTTTTACCTCCCTTAATCTTCTTTACTCGAAAAAGGGGAGGAACAAATGGAAAAAGGTTCAAGGAAATGTTGGTATATTGCTGCTATGGGAGCCTTTTGTTTTCTTTCGCCAGATTCACACATTATTCATGTTCAGGGGAGGTTGCCTAAGTTACGGCACTTGAAAAGAATGGAGCATCTTAGGGTATCATACCTGTCTATCGATCAAAATTTGGTGCGCATAAGTTCGGTTAGATTTAAAAACATGATGTCTGATAAAACACTGAGTTTTTCTAAATTTTACGCATGCAATGAAGTTTTTCAGTTCAAAATTCAGTGAAATTAGTCTCATAACTAGTCTAATTTATTCTTTTTCCCCTAAAGTGAGTGCTATATTTTACTGTTTACAGGAAAGTTTGTATCTTTTCATTAGCATTTTCTTTGTTTTTGATGCAGCGTTGGCCTGATGGTAACCAAGGGACTCCTTATGCACCTAGGATGTGACGTATTGGCTGTTGGTTCAGCAGACGAGTGCGTGAGAGTTGTTACGCCTGAACACAAGGTGGTTTTTCTTGATACTAGCATGCCAGGTTCGGACACCTACAAAGTTGCTGTACGTTTGCACGAGAAATTTTCGAAACGACTCGATAGGCCTTTTATTGTAGCGCTAACGGGGAATACCGATAGGATGGTAAAAGAGAATTGCTCGAGGGTTGGAATGGATGGAGTCGTCCTGAAACCTATATCGGTTGATAAAATGAGAAGTGTTTTATCAGAGCTCATAGAGCATGGATTTCTGGTCGAATAAGCAGAAAGGCGAGTACTAAGTACCTATACTTGAAAGTGAATAACTGTGTAAGAATGCAGCAACCGGGTGACAGCTTATTTGTCATCATGGAGTTCACTATATGACATGGTGGCATTGCAGTGTACGTCCCAGGGGGCACGGTGGTTCAAATTATTGAGTATGTCCACCTTTTTTTATTTTTTATTTTTGGTGTGTATCTGTGATTTCAGATCGATTATCACAAGAAATGATGCTGATTTCGTTAGAAACTCTATAAAAACTTGTAGAGATGACTTGTTTTCTTACGTTAAGTTATAAGAATGCTCTGAGTAGAGTTGAAGCTTGTTTCAGTTTTGGATTTTGTGCATGAACTGAAATTGAGCAGTGTTTCCTAATCATTTTCTCAACAAAAGTTTAGATTATGATAAGAGGAATTTGTTTGAATTATTCGGCTAATATGATTCCTTTCTTTCTATATTTTTGGGTTTAAGATCTTGAAATTGTGACGTAAGCGGTACGTGTGGTTAAATATCCAAATTGCTACTTTATTTTATTATTTTATTATTTTCTAACTTTAGAATCTTTCTGAGTTGCAACTAAACCTTTTCGAACATTTCCTAGTTGCTGTTGATTCGGAATTAAACCATTTCAACAAAAGTAGGAAAAAGTTCGGAATCTATATACTAATTATTTTATTTAAAAATGTGTGATTGAATGTGTTCGGAAAAAAAATAACGATCAGAAAATGACAACGAGGACATAATAACAAACGCAAAATATTCTCAGTTTATACTTACTAATAAAAATTCAAACTAAAATTGAAATCTTTTCTCACAATAAGCTCCTATTTTGCTAAAATCAGTTTAATTAAAATCGTGTTTGAAAAGTTGATAGTTGCGAGTTGCATAAAATATTTAAGATAAATATGAGAAAAATAAATAAATAAACAGTGCTCGAAATTAATAAAAATATATTTTCAATATAATACACTAAAAATGAAATTATTTTTTGTCGAAAATAATTGACTGTATATTTCATTAATTTTTTGCTTTTCCCCGTAAACCTCAACTGCTTATTAAATGAAGATGATGCCAATCCATTTATCTTATCGAAGTAACAAACATAACAAAAACCATAATTGAATCATCTTACGTTTGATCCTCTTCCCTCACTTCGATACACTCTCTCTCTATATATACATACATACACGTTGTCTTTATATGCATACAAATGAACAAAAACAAACTGTATAAGAAAAATAAAAAGAAAAGGAAATGCCAAACGAGAGGACTTTCATAAATCACCACCAAGAAGCCATTTACACTTGTAATCAAGAATTGTTATGAAAATCCCTGATTTTTTTTTTCAGTCTTTTTTATTCCTTTCTCATCATCAAATGTGGTTATGGTTACGGACTTCAATACACCCACAAATATGGAATATCTGTTTAGATTAATCACCAAAATCTGAAATTTGAGAAAAAAAAAAAAACCCATTACTGATTGATCTATATATTTATATAGAGGTGCAAAAACTGTGTTTCTGCATTAGCTTTTATATATTTGAGGCACAATTCTTGTGTCTTATTCTCGATAAAGTTGAGTTTTTTATCTTTTAATTTTTTAAATTTGGAATATTTGTTTGTGGGTTTTAGTGATTTTCCATGGCTACTGGTGCAGAGGTGTCTAGTGAGACAGTAGCGGTGGAAATGGTGCCTTCATCCCCAAAAAACACTGATACTGCTTGTGAAAATGTCAGTGAAAATGTTAATGAAAAGAATGCTAATTTTAAGATTCAAGATTTAGGAGAGAAGGATGTAGATTATATTGTTAAGGACTCTGATTCGAAATCGGAAATGAAAATGAAGGAAATTGTTGATATGTTGAAGCAACTCAAGTTGAATCCTCTGGCCAAGGAGTTTTTTCCTTCCTCCTATAATAGCAGCCAAATGGGAGACAACAATTTTGTTGCCACCAAGATTTCGGGGAATGACGGTTTTGCGAATAACCGAAGGGTATAAATTTAGTTCTCCCTTTGATTGATTTTGCCATGTTCATTGTTAAATTGATTCATGACAGTTTGAGATTGTATGGTGCTTCGTTATTTATCCGCTTTATGTTCTATCTTGGCTTGCTTATTTGATTCAGAGGTCAATTCTTTAGGTTTGTTCATATTACATTGGTTTTCATAATTGATACTTGCCAAATAAGAAAATATTTCTTGATTTTGGATTTATAAAAAATCGGCTTGATAAAATTTTTGGTGGATTCTGTCCATTATGATCAAGGTTTCATGTAATCACTTATTTGTTCAAAAATTTGGAATTTGGACAATATGTTTGCATTGCAATAGTTAGTTTGTTAGTTAGGAAGGATTGCTATTTTTTGATAACATAAATGAAATGTGATTGTATTAAACAAAGAACAAAGTAGAGCTGTTTCATCTAACAGAAAATGTTATATCCGAATTCACTTTGTTGGTACTGACTTGTCAAGAGGATTTTGGGCATGAATGATCTAAAATTAAGTGATCAGTTTATTGGTTGTAGTAGCTGCAATTGCTTGTAAATTCTCCTTTTTGTAAGTATCACTTGAGGCGGGTAGGACTTAATCTGGAACTAAGTCGTGCTTTTATTATTTGAAGTATCAGTTTATTGGCCCCATAGTTGCTGTAGTTAATCCATGCTTGAGGGTAAGAATGCATAAATCATTTCACCAGTCACCTTCCTATTCCATTTGCTTGCATTAAGTTAATTATATTATGTGTAAATTGTTTTAGTTGTTACTATCATTTGAGACAGATTTGACTGAAACTGGAAATTAACATGTGTTCATGTTGCTTGAAAATTTTTCGTCAAAAATGGATTTTTGACTTTTGTTTAATAAAATGGATTGCAGTACTTCATTTGTTAGAGATGGATTTTGCACATCAGTTCATTAGGTTGATCATTGACCTCTGCTTATCATTCGTAAAACTCATAAGATTTAAGTTCGTGTTTTCCCAGAGAAAAAATAACAACAATCAAGGCAGGAGGAGAATGGGAGGTAGAACTTTTAGAGCTCAAAGAGAAGATAATATTAGACGAACAGTCTATGTTTCTGACATTGATCAAAATGTAAGTAAAGACCAATTGGCTTGATTAATTCTTATCAATCTTTTATGATCCATATTGATACAGTTTACTTGCCTCTTCATTTAAGATAACTGAAGAACAACTGGCTGGTTTATTCAGCAGCTATGGACAAGTAAGTTCCTCATTCTGATTGTTGTTTGATTAGTCTATGCACAGTACAGATGTCGAATCTCACTAAAGATATGATAGAGGTGGACAGAAGGTGTTGTTCGATTGAGCTGTAATTTATCCTCTTGATCTGGGTTGTGGTCGTTACTGCTCTCTGATGCCGAATTTGTATATCCTCTCGTGGACAGACTATCTGTGTAAGACATGGTTTGGAGATGAATATGCTCTCATATTACTCTGGTCATATTGCTAAGTTTGGTGGACCATACTTCAACGTCTATTTAAATTGGTATGGAGTTTAGGAAGAGTTGAATAGGTGGGAATATTATGCATCTTTACATTTTACTCAAAATTAATGTTACGAATCATTGCCAGTTTCACCATGTACTTTCAGTAAGGATACCGCAGAACGTAATTAACTCTTTTAGGGGAGAGCATTATTTGTGGCCATCCCGAAAGGAAAATAGGAGCGTTCAGACATGGTTTCAATGATAGGTGAAAAATAAGTAGGTTGGTCATTGGTGGCACCTATAATGCCATCTGTTTGAACCCCATAAGCTATTCTCTCTCTCTCTTTTTTTTTTTCCCTCAATCGCCGGTTTTGTAATGGGTTACTGATTGGGACTACAAACCCTCGTGGCATATCATAATGATATCTCTGACTATTTTTTCTCTTTCTGTCTCTGCTTTGCAGGTTGTTGATTGCCGAGTTTGTGGCGATCCTCACTCTCGTCTTCACTTTGCTTTTGTAGAATTTGCTGATGAGTGTAAGTCAGTTTTTTTATTTTTTATTTCTTCTTGCATTGCTGAACTTTTCTGACTTTCTCCCTGTGGATTTAATTTTGACAGATTCTGCTAGAGCAGCTCTTAGCTTTTGTGGGACGCTGTTGGGTTTCTCTCCTGTTAAGGTCTTGCCTTCGAAGACTGCCATTCTTCCCGTGAATCCTACATTCCTTCCCAGGGTACAAATATATCTCAAATGCTGCTAATATTGTCGAAAAGTACTATAGTTTTTTTCCTCAATCTGATTTCATTATCTATATCAACTTTTTATCTATAGTCGGAGGATGAACGTAAGATGTGTGCAAGGACAGTCTACTGTACAAACATTGATAAGAAGGTATGCTTACGCTATCTTGCTTCAGTGTGGTATCCTAAAGTTTTTTTTTTTTGCTATATTTTCATGAATGTTAATTATTTAAATTTATGATGTGTAATGCATGAGTGCTACTCGCTAGTTATGTATGGACTCAAAATAATCTGCTTCTTCTGCTTGTGTATAATGTTTTAAACCTGATCACGTGATATGTTTTATGTTGAGTAGATTTCTCAAGCTGAAGTCAAAAGCTTCTTTGAAACAAGATGTGGTGAGGTAAGCCTAAAGTTTCGAACACGAGGATGGTTTTATGAAGAGCATGTTTGGAAAAGCTTAAATTATAATTTAAGCTGTGTTAAACATAATTCTTATCCTCACTTTTTGTAGGATCCACAACGCACTACTCACTTATTAGCCACACTTTTCGTAGGGCCCACATATTTTAATCACCACTAAACAAGCACGAAGGGTTGTCTTTGAAGTGTTGAATGACTGGATATTTCTTAATTGTAGGTTTCCCGCCTGAGGCTCTTGGGGGATGATCACATGCACTCGATGCGAATTGCTTTTGTTGAATTTTCCGTGGTACGTTTATTTGAATACATTGTACTTGTGCATGGTGGCAACCATGCTTTGTTTAGTTCTTTAAGTTCGAGTGCAAATTTAGTGACCAATGCTTGATATGCATGCTATACATGCATACACATGGACATATATATAGACTAGTTGAATGAAGATTGGCACCATTTTTGAAGTACCGTGAAAATTTTTACTCTGCCTTCTTTCTTTTAGATGTCACAAGATGATGGTACACACGTAAATTCTTCAGAATTTGTTTAATTGTTAGACATATCAGGCACAACGATGAAACGAACAAGAGCTTTCATTTGAATACCAATAGAATAATTTTACTTACCCATGTTTTGATAACAATTTTTACAAAACTCTTTTTTTTTTCTCAAACTCATTTTCAACCATACATTATTACAATAAAATATTCTGCAGGTAAACCCCAGAAATTTCTATTTCAAAACTCATTTTTCCCAAAAAAAAAAAAAAAACACTCTTTTTAATGGTTTTCAAACAGAGGTATTTTACATGCATCAAATGTGAAAGAACTTAAGGTAGCTTATATTTTATCACAATGTGTAGGCTGAGAGTGCACTTCTGGCTCTCGACTGTTGTGGCGAAGTTTTGGGATCTGAACGCATCAGGTACGAATCATTGAGTTGTAGATAAATTTTTGTGAAGTCTAGTTTCCTGTTTACTCTTAATGAGTCTGATGGTATTGTAGGGTAAGTCCTTCCAAGACACCTGTGAGGCCCCGAGTTCCTTACCCAGGAATGCAGTAAAACCGTCGACAACCAAATTTCGAAGGAAGTTGAATTGAATCCTCTTGGAAGATAATCAATTCAAGATGAAGGGATGTTAAAACCTCAACTCTTTCACTTATTTTCTTTTTCTTTTTCTTGGAAACAGTAACTTTTTCTTGCAACTGAACTCAACTCTTTGACCTGTCAAAGATTTACTAAGATGTACCTATCCTAGGTACTTTTTACTATAATTAATCATGAATGCTATCTTCATGACATGAGACATTAGGTTCTGTGCAATTTTGGGTGAATGGTTACACAGTGTGACAAAAGTGAGGTTTTTACTAATGTAGCTTGATCAATTAGCGTCAAAAGTGGGTAACAAAATGTGTGACTTCGTTTTATTATAACAAATGGGATCCCCCTTCTCAAGATTTGCTCCATTCCCTCCTTTTATAAATTAATCCTAAGATATGAATATTTCTGTTAGATTAAATACGATATTTTTCTAGACTTCTAATATTCAAAGTATTTGAATATTGAAAACGAGCTTCTTCCAGAATTGACATTTACATTCTCCCAAAATATTGTTATAATTATTATTATGCTTTTTTTTATGAACGTTATGTTGGTATTGGTCATAATGTCTATTTGAAAGAGTTGGTGCTCATCTGATTTCTTTCGTGTCCTCTGTGAATTTTTTACATAGAACTTTTTACACGATACAATTTACATATTTACGATTGCTACTCTATCCCTACTACTACTCGAACTATCATTTTTGTTTTGCGATATTTCAAGGTGATGACATTTAATATTTCGATAAAAGTGATGTATGCTACAAATATATCGGTGGGTTTGACAATTCTCCCCTTCTGCCAAATACATACCTCTTTTAGTGTGAGTACAGTAACATGTCGTGATATGATTCGGCACAAAAATCAAGATGTTTTACGTTGGAGCTATGCTATAATAGTACTAAGTAGATGATAATACAGTGGAATAAAGCAAATAATTTTATTTTGTTTTAAAAATAATCATTTGCATTACCAATCGTATAACATAATGTATAATTTAAAAGTGGGTTTCGGTCGTATAAGAAAAAAACCTAGTAAATGACACTCTTTTGAATGAAAAATCGAAAAAATAATATCCAAATTATTCCACCGAGTAATATTTATTATTAATTTTATACTGAATTTCTTACTTGGTCGAATCAGTACTCGAAGAGCAACCTAAATTTCTGTTTGGCACATCAAATCGTTTGTCACCATGTAATAGTCACAATGGACCACGTAAAATAATTTCAGATAGGAATGACATGTTTGATATATTGTTCGAACAAAATAGAACCTATCTAATATAAAGTAAAACACGTAAAGGTAGTTTAATAGAATAAAATCACATCATTTTATCATTTTTATTTTTACTTTTCATAATTATAATTGCATGCTTTGTTGTCAGAGTAACATTTTGAATAGCAATATACGGAAACGGAAGGGGAAATTTTTTCGGAAATGGCTTCGTTTTGCATGGAGAGAAAATGGCAGCATACGTTTCTCTTTCTAGACTAGAAAATCTCGAATCCCACTCCACAGCCAATCCCATTATAAGAATGAAGATTGAAACTGTAACTAACGGAGAGTCGAATATGGCGGGGAGAGAGAGAATTTGCCGCTGAAAGATGTGTATCAGGTACGTATTCAACTGCATAAGATACGTAGATTTGTTGGGAATTTAATTTTTTTTTTTTCGCTAGGTTTTATAATTTGATTTACCGGCAATGTACAATTTTATGGCTTGATTTATTGAATCCGTTCGTGTTGTGCATGATTGCATGGTGGAAATTGGTTCAATTTCTGGGTTTAATTGGAATTACGAGTCTGTCGTTAAAGATCTGCTGCTTTGGAAATTTGCTGTCTATAATTGGTATATCTATTTGCTATTGCATGAAATTGAAATTTATTTTGATTAATCGAGTTGGTTTGGTTTTGACTCCACATATAATGATGCAGTTCTGTGTAAATATGTAAAAATTTGCAATGGTTGAGTATTGAGAACTTGAAATTCTGATATGAAGGACATACTTTGGAATTAATTCTCACATCACATCACATCAATATGCTATCCTTCCTCGACCCTATCACGACAATAATCGGCAGTTAGCACGAGCTTATCTGATAAATTTGTTTGTACTACAACTTGGTGAACAAATCGACGATAAAATTGGACACTTTTTTGTGAAAAGCGTGCTCGCTTCAGAAAATAGGAATACGATGTCTTTGTGATGGTGAGCCTATCTCATTAATTAAGGTTCTTTATCAGATTCTCCATAGTTGAAATGAGTTCGATGGTGCAATCTGTGATTTTAATCACCCTTGTAGGATAAAAAAAAATTGACTTTTGACTAGACGAACTCTACTTAAATGTTATTAATCATATTCCATAATATGATGTTTACAGTAATGGATAGGGTGAGACCAGTGCATGTGAGGCAGAAGAGTTTGTCCAATACAAACAGTGGTTCTTCATCATCAATGACATCCCCAATGCATCGCCATTCGCGCACAGCTTCAACTGGCATTGCAAATATGAAGAGACCGCAGAATACAAAAGCTGCTGCTCAGAGGCTAGCTCAGGTTATGGCTCATCAATCAGCTAATGATGATGAAGAGGAGGAGGATGACCTTATGTACGACTACAGCCCTAGAATTCCGTCTGCTGGAGTAGGACTTGCAGGTGGAAGGCCAACTGGACACCGTTCAACAATGGTAAGAAGCTTGTCACGCATGTCTGCGTACACATCCTCTTATCACATCCGTTCATCACTTTATCTGCATTGCACCTGCTCTTGCATTTTTATGAGAAGTCCTGATGTCAAGGGGATATTGACACTTGTATACGCCCATAATTTGGAGATATCTGTTTCTCCATTCATTATCTGCCATTTTTGCTAAATTATGACTTCTGTTTATATGGTGTTGGTTAATCATTATCGCAGACCCTTGTTTGAAACTTAGATTACCCTAATTTTTTTCCATGTTAGTATAGATTTTGGTTGTTACGACGAAATGTTAGAGCATGGGTGTGGTATCGCCTTCCCTTCATCACAGAAGTTGGAAAAAATTATAATTGGCAGCATTGATATTTGAATAGTTTTTGTGTTCTTGGGAATGAGTGAAAATTTACCATATGATTGTTTACATGTTTACTCCACTCTGTATCTTATAGGATTCGTTTCCATCACTTTTGTTTCCTTTTTCAGTACTGATTTTGAAGTTGTTTTGTTATTTTTAGTCAGTTCGTACTGCAGTAGTACAACCACCATCTTCTCGTTTAACAATAGGTGCAAGAACATCTGTACCTATGAACTCTGTGGAACAGCAGCCTTCATCAGTTCGTACCTCTGTAGAACCACCACCATCTGCTCATTCAATATCAGGTGCAAGAACATCTGCGACTATCAACTCTGTTGAACAGAAACTGTCATCAGCTCGTTCAACTTCCTCACTTCTTGGATCATCTCAAAACAAGTCTGCAGAACAACTTTCATCTGCCTACTCTTCTGGGGCTGGTCGTTCATCTGATCCCACAGACTCAGTTGAAGAAGCACAACCGCCATCTGCTTGCTCTAATATTGGAAAATCAGCTTCTTCTGTCAACCTTGCGGAACAACCTCCATCTGCTCGATCTGTGGCCAGTGTCCGTCCAAATTTAGGAGGCAAGACTGCCTTCATGGTACCTCCAAGTGTACCTCTGTCAGTCAAGCCAGCAGTATCTGGAATTCCAGCCGAGACTCAACCTGATAAAATTAGAGACAAAAGGTACCTTGAAGCTTTAGACTCCATTGTACTGTCTCAAGGATCTTATTTAGTTCACACGTGTAATCTGTTATAAGTATTCTCTTTTGCATAAACCTTGAAAAAGTTTGATATGGATCGTCTTTCCATTCATCCATCTTACAATATCAAAATCCTTTCTTATTTGAACTTCTGCAAGAGCACATGGTAATACCTTTGTTTTTTGTTCAGGTGATTGACAATTGAAAATATAAAAACTTTTACGTATTCTGTCAATTACAGGTTATCTTTAGATTTTGGAACTTTTAAATATAAAGAACCTGGTGATCAGCAGCTATCTTCTTCTGCTCTACAAGATGAGGTAGGATTGTTAATCAAACTCATTTTCTCCTACTCCATTTTCTGTTCCTCTTTCTAATATAAAAACTAATTTTTTTGAGTGTGTATTTCACTATTCTTGTATACTTTACATCAACACATATTTCTATAAATTATTTTGTAAAGATGTGTACAATTATGCAAGCATAGAGAATTTTGCTCCCCAACTTATAGTCGGAGATATTGTTGTATATCACATATATTTTCCATTTCAGCAACAATAGCAAGCAGCAAGAAATGTTTTCACCTCATTTTATAATTATATTACTCACACAAGGTCCTCAAAATTACAGCTTGACATGCTTCAAGAAGAAAATGATAGTCTACTGGAAAAGGTGATTCCATTTAGCTGCTTACTTACGAAAGAATTATGTGTTTATTCTGTATTACAACTTTTGTTTCATTGAAAAGATGATATGTTTTGATATTCAAAGTGCTACACTGGTTAGCATCTCAAGATACACATGCTTTCAGCTTCGAATTGCTGAAGAAAGATGTGAGGAGGCAGAAGCAAGGACTCTGCAACTCGAGAAACAGGTTGGAATGCTAAATTCTTACACTTCCCAGATTTTAATAGGCGCGAGACCTTAAAGTTTCTTCTTTTTCTGTAACAAAAGAAATCAGTCTCTCAAACTATGTGGTATCTATAATTTTTTGTTTCCATTTAGACATGTTCTTATTGGCTACATTTTTTTGAGAATGATTTATCAAATGTTTCTTGGTCTTATTCTGTTAGATTGCAAGTCTAGGAGATGGTGGATCTTTAGAAGCTCGGCTTTTGAGCAGGTAAGTAATGAATTTTGAAATGATTTCGCTAAATATAGTAGATTCTCTAGCTAATTGATTTTCATTTATCTTTAATTTTTTTTTATGTTGTAAACTCTGCAGGAAAGAAGCAGAGCTTCAGAAAAGAGAGGTATGTATTAGAAGGAATGCTATTATTTTCCATTGATTCAGATTTTGTATGCGCACACGTTGAGAATTATTTTGCCACTAGGTGAAGGTTAATATTGTCTCAAGGCAATCTCAATTTTCTTTTACAATTCTAGGAGTTGAAAGCTGGACATTTTTTATGAGCTTCAGTCATGTTATTTATTTTTTTATCTGAGCATGTTATTGTTTCACATATTTTTGTATTGACAAGTCAGATTGTGTGTTTTTGTTATATTTGGCAATACACAACTTGTCTTTGTTAATCTGAAAGAATGCAGTTTAAATCTGTAACTGGGACACATTTGACATGGCAGGCTGCTCTGAAAGTTGCAACAGAAACCTATGGTGGAGCAGGCGAGGAGCTTGCAGCTCTTCGAATGGAAGCCGAGGTACTTACAAACTCTACCTAGTGTGTTTATTGTTACACGTCATAAAGTCTTCTTTGGTCACTTTCATGTCACTGTTTTTTTGTTAGAACTTTTTGTAAGTTTTGAGATTCATAATCAATAACGAAATACAGGTTCACTGTAATTTATTTATTGTAATTTTAATCAGACTGCCAGGGATGAAGCTACGACAGCTTTGGAGCTGCTCCATGATGTCGAATGTGAAGTTAAATCACTTCGGACTGTGACTAAAAGAGTAATATTGACTAATGAAGAGATGGTATGTACCAATTATAATATCACACAGCTTCTACTCCCTGCGTTCTAGATGTCACACTTATGTGATTCACAGTTTATAAACTTAGGAAGAGGTGGTTCTCAAGAGGTGTTGGCTTGCTCGGTACTGGAGTTTATGTGTTCGCTATGGTAATTTTTCTAAACTCGATAAATTTAGAACACAAATTATCAGAATTGATGTCCATTTGGTCATTTTGGGATTCTTCCTTGAGGTGTGTAATGAGTTATGAGAGCGACAATTTTATAATGGAGCACAAGATCACGCTAACATGAGAGAGATATGACTATTGATAAAAATGAGGACAGGAAACTGTAGATTCTGCACAAGTTATCTAGAGGGAAGAGCTGAATAGATAACAAAATTTGAAATTTCTTGCTGGTTTTAAGCCTGTTCAAATGCACCTTTTCATTTAATAATAAAAATCTAGTTCTAATGGCTTCTATATTTATTTTAAAGAGAATATTAAGATTAAGCACAAGCACTAGCTATTTTATGAAGTGAGGGAAGATGGAGAAGGGGAAACTCTAGTAATGGGTTGGTTGGTTAGTATAAACATCTAATCTCTAATACCAAAAGTCATCCCTTAAGTATCTCAGCAATTTCTACCACAGAACAGGAGAAGCAACAGCGCTTTTACTTGAAGGGTTTTTGTGGTATTGTTTTCTCCTTTTCAAATATCATATTTTTAAATTACCTAAATACCTTGCTGATAGAGATTATAAACCCAAGACTGACAGCAATATTACTCAAAAGAGAAGCAGTTTTACAACTTTTTTTTACTCTTTTCTGAAAGGTGCGTATATCAGTATGTAAGTTATATATAATATTATTATTCCTACATACAAATTAATACAAGTATATCATAGTCCTGTCTACCTCGATAATTCATGCACCTTATAAATTCCATAGAATTTATTTGTCTTATGAAGATAATCTGTCTTATCTTTCCTCATATTTCTAAATTAAATTTTCTGTCACTATCATCTCTCATATTCAATAGTGTTTCATAAATTTATGCAATCTCTCACATCTCAGTGTAAAAACTACTTTTAACTTCCATGCTTGATCATAGAGTAACGTGTCATCCAAGTGGCCGAAATTATTAGACGAGTATTTACGGTGGGGTTTTATTAAATGACATGGCAAGACAGTTTTGTTATCTGTAATACCCCTAACATGGAGATAAAATGTAACAACCCAACCTAGCGCCGGAATCGTTATCTTACGTACTGTCCGCTCTGGGGTGGGCTTCTGCCCACTTATCCCCTCATGGCTTTCTGACGCGTCCCCCAAGATTCGAACCCAAGATTAAACTTAAGTCTCCCATATGATGGAGGTCTTGGGTTCGAATCCTGGGGGACGCGTCAGAAAGCCGTAAGGGGATAAGTGNATGTTCAAACAACTTAATCCTTTTACACAAAATTGGTGCACTTGAATTATAATTTATTCACTTGGGGATGATATTCTCAACTCACTAAAATTATTACTTGTCAACGATCTCGTACACTACGGGTTTACACGAACTTGAATTGTAACGACCAGCCTTTCACCAGAGCCGTTATCTTATGCACTGTCTGCTCTAGGGTGGGCTTCTGCCCACTTATCCCCTCACGACTTTCTGACGCGTTCCCCAAGATTCGAACCCAAGACCTCCATCATATAGGACCCGAGCGAACAGTACAAAAAAACGCGCATTTTTTGTAACGACCCGACCTCGCGCCGGAGCCGTTATCTTACGTACTGTCCGCTACGGGAGAGTTTAGGCCCATTTTACCGCTCACGGCTTTCGACGAGTCTTCCAAGATTCGAACCTAAGACCTCCATCATATGGGAGACTTAAGTTGAATCCTGGTACCAATTGGGCAAGCCGTGAGGGGTAAAATGGGCCTAAGCTCTCTCGAAGCGGACAGTACGTAAGATAACGGCTCCAGCGCGAGGTCGGGTCGTTACATAAAACCTTCATGAGAGTTGTAACGCTTCTTAACAGAACCACCTCTTGGTATCTTGACCAACAAAATTGTCAAATCCAGCTCTTTTATGCTGTAAATGTTTGCAATTTGAGGACCACGCTTCCAAGTAGTTCTCTCTTTATTTTTTCCCCTCTGATCTACTTCTGTTTTTTCTCTTTTCATTTCCTTGGGCTCTGGCCTAGGGTGGCTGTAGTAGCAAAAATACAGGAAGAGGCACCTTGACTTTCATTTGGAGTTTTTACCAATTTCAATTTGCAATACATTGCAGGTGTTCATGCAGAGATATCTGGTGCAAAATATGAATACTGGTCATCTTTTTGTCCCCTTCCTGCTGAAGTGATATTGAATGCAGGTCAGAAAGCAAAAGACGAAAACTCAATGGGTAAGAGGCTGTCTGCTCTGTTTTGCCTGGATAGTAATTCAGCGAATTTAATGAGATTTTAACAAGAATTGGAAAACTTAACTGGAAACTCCAAATAGTAAAGTTTATAATTTTCTTCAGAAATAATTTAGAATGAGATTTACAGAAATTTTTCCATGTACGTCCTTACCAGTGCTATGGTTTACCTTTGTTAACTTTTACATGGTCGATCCCTAAATTTATGGGCTTAGTTATGAACTCAGTAAATATGTTAATTGCGTCCTAAGAGAAACTCAAGGCTTCTGTCAAAGAGTCCAAGCTCAGACAGTCTCTTCTTCTGCTGAAAATATCCTTCCCTGGACTTTTTCCTCGCTTGCCCATTTTAACTGCATATAAGCATAAATCTTGTAGCTGAACACAAAAAATAGATTTGTGATTGCTGTTGTACCTTTTCCTGTGATTTTATTAGTCGGATAATGTTTGTCTTTGTTTGGTAGTTAACAATGATGCCCAAAAAAGGGAGAAAGGTCCACGAGATATAAATGACAATGCAGGAGATGCCAGCATTGAGAGCATGCTTTTAGTTGAGCAAGGTCTTAGAGAACTGACATCCCTCAAGGTTCTATTCAAAATTCATGTTTTTACTACAAATTCTTTGATGATATAAGTACAAGAATTTCCATTATTTTTCAAGGAGTAAGTTGGACTAAAACTTAGATATTTTTTATCTGCGTTTTTGCTTCATTAGCATTATATTAGGTAAAGGAAGATAACTACATGCTGTAAAATCGAAATTTTTCATATATCAGTGGCATTATCTGTCAGGAGATTGCACTATAATCTATTTGTCACTTCAATTTTGTCTTCATCCATACTACATCTAGAACGCTTGATTTTGTCCCCCGTTCTTTTGAAATCAATAATGTGACTCAATTTTTATCCATCTATAGTTGCTTGATTTGTCATATGCAATGTTCCGAACAGGAAACTTAAACTTTTTTTTAATGCTGACCACCTTTTCCTTTTCAAGGTAGAGGAGGCAATAGCCATATCAATGGCCCAACAGAGACGCCCAAGTGCAGTAAAATCTAATGGTATGAAATAGAAATGCTCAATTTTTGAATTTTTTTCCTACTGGAAAAGATAATAACACTTGTCACGTAAGTTACATAAAAATTGCTATTTTAGTCGGCACTGGACCATTATCTTTCTGGTTATCCACCTTGATTTTTTGAGATTGCAATGAAATGAAGTAACAGTAAAGTTTTCTTAGGCATTGCAATGTATGTTTTCAATTTCTGAGTGCACATTTTGAAGAAGTTGTATGATACAACTAGATGGACTTGTCTGCACTGCAGCGATAACTAAGGTAGTGAATGCTTTTAAGCGGGGCCACTTGCAGATACATTATATTATATTATCCTGTAATATCATTACTCGACCACTTGTTCCTACACCAAAAAATACATTAAGAAACATTAACCTACAGATAATCAAGCCTATCACTTAGAATCCTACAGAAACCTTCTCCTATCATTCAAGTAACATTGGTCTTCTTATAATCTATAATGTTGGAGATGGAAAATTATATCAGCCTCAAATAACTGCTTGTTACAATGGACTATTCATAACTTAGAAGTATATAAATTTTACCAGTACTAATCTAACCTTCTAGTGCAGTTTGTAGGATTTCACAAAAAGTTACAGTTACTTCTTAATGTATAGTTTAAATAAGTTTAAGCAGTAGTAATATGAAAATAAAATGTAAACCTAGGCATAGACTCATGTACTTGTACAAATATATAATAATATTATTAGAAAATTTCCTTTATAACTAATATTATAAGGAAGTTCTTCAAAAACATTACTAATAATTAAAGTATAAATTATCAGAAGTAATTAGTTCTTCTAAATCTTGTTTTAACTATAGTAGATTATTAGTTTATAAAAATTAACTAAATGAGAGGGTCAACTTTATGATTTCAATTGCCAATTTGATCTTTAGTGATGTCCCTTCTTTCAATGGCTGTAGATGAATTAAAGATACCAACTGAAGGACAGGATTTTTCAGAAGCATTTGGTAAGTTTTTCTTATATTGAGATAGATTGTTAGTATCAGACAATTTTTTCCAAATGAGTTACTGGATACAATAAGACCATTCTAAATGAAACTGTTTCCTGTCTTTCAGTAGACTGCTATCTTCTTTCTTCTGTGACCTTTTTTCGGAAATCTCAAGAGCCCTAACAGTGTAATTTTATCAGATTACTTGAACACAAAACCTTCGGTTTTCCAGAAACTAGTTTAGGCTTTCAGATCAATGCAAAGCTCCTAAACTTTTACATATCTTTTATGAAGGAGTGGTTTTTCATTGTGTCCTGCTATGTATACTATAGTTTTGATGCCAAATTATAAACAGAAGCATACTTGTTTCAGAGTTGAGCAAAGAGGAGTCTGAAGATGTTTTCATCAAGCGGGTATGTTGGCAACTAGAACTATTGCTTTCTTAAATAGGAGATGTCATTGCTTGATCCAATTTCAGTTCTCTGTCTTCAAAATTATCTTGGGAATGTTTAAAGCGCCGTATATTCTACTTTTAAAGCGCTGTATATTCTACTTTTAACTGTATTTTCTTTGTTTGCTATTCAATGTTCTCGTTGGTCGCTTTGGCTCCATATGATGATTGTGAGATTCATTCAGCTTCTAGTTAATGCTTAACGTTTTATTTTTTACTTTTCATCTCAAGAACTAATGAACCTAATGGCTATTATGGTCTCATTAGATTTTATTTTACAAGGAAAATCAGTAGAAGTCCTTGAAATCAATCAGAGTAAATCCCGTGAAAAATGACACGTTTCAAAGAGCAGAAGTGAGATCACATGGCTCATGTTGAATCGTCCGACATTGTTGTTATTATTGTACAATGAATGTTTTTTCAAAAACTTGAGCACTCTAATCAATCACCTTGAATCTACTGTTAAACCACTTTTTACTCATTAGTTACAAGTCTAATGCACTATAAATGTATTTGGTGGGTTTGATGAAATTTTATTGTTGATTAATACTCGACCTTGTTGACATTTGTTATAAGGTAGTTGAATATAGATTTTTAATCAATGGTTAAGAAAATTTAGAAAACTGCCTGTAAGGCATTATCAGATAATAAATAGAAAATGCCGAAAACGGATCTACGTTCAAATTCAGTGATTTTTTACCTTACAATTTAACTGCCTTCCTTGAAAAACTGAAGTGATGCCAATTTGTTGAGCTCTGTTAGGCGTGGTTGACATATTTTTGGAGAAGAGCGAAAAATCATGGCTTGGAACCAGACATAGCAGAGGAACGTGTACAGTTCTGGATCAACCAGGGCAGTAGGGCACTTACTTCACATGATGCGATCGATGGTACTCTCTCTCTCCCTCCCTCCGCTGTTCTGCATGTTCTTGCAACATTACATTTTGTACAATTTGTTTTGTAAATTCTAAAGAATCATTGTATTTTTATTTCAGAAGCATTAACTTGTGATGAATATCTACAGCTTCTACTTGCTTTCTTCTTTTCAGAAGATTTCTGATGAAAATTTTGGTGCATTGGATTTCTTCTTCCTTTTTTCGTTTCTCATTTTTGCGGAGTTCAATCTTTCTTTTTCACCTCATTCACTTTTGGAGGGGCGTGTGTGTGTAAGCGAGCGAGCGAGCAAGAGAAAGAGAGAGAGATCCAATTACTTGGGGAATTCAAATAAGCTGAATAGCATGTTAGTACTTTAAAAATAATGTTAAAAGAGTAATTAGACTAGAGATGTTGCAAGTATAACTCCGAGTAACCCTGTGTCTTTTACATCTTTTTGCTTGCATGTTACAGTCGAACGTGGTCTAATGGAGCTTCGAAAGTTAGCAATTGAGACACAATTGTGGGAAGAATCTCGTAGATTGATTGATCCAGACTCCAAGTGGAAAACACAACTAGACATTGATTTTTAATAATAACTTGTCTGAGCTTCTATTTGATTGCCTCTCCTGAACATTTACTTTCCTAAATCTCCATGTAAACCCTATTAATATGTTCATCTGCTTATTATTTCTGAGCTTATGTGACGATTATTTCGACTTTTTGTTCGAAACTAGTAAGAATAGAGATTTCTTTTGAAGATCTGTATGTGTATCTGAAGTTGAATAAATATATGTTTTTGTTTCCCTTCCTTACTTAGATGTTATTTTCACCAAGATTTAATGATTGGTAATAAACTGTTTGTTTAGGGGGTTTTAGATTTTTATTAATGGCAATTTCGCCTACATGAAAATTTTAAGTAGTGGATATTTTGAGACTTGAGTATAGTGGCTCAAGTCGTTGGCGTACTTTTGGAGTATTACATCTTGTGCAATTGTTAAGTCTCGAATTTGCAGAGTTGTTAATCAGGCTTGTTCGTCGGTCATTATGATTTGTTGTTTGTGAATGTTTTCTTTGTGTTGTGAAATTATGTACAATCTTGAAGTCGAATGGTTCAAGATTGTCATCTTGTGAATGGAGTATACAACGACACATTTTTCACCTATAAAGAAACAAATAAAAAAGGATGAAATAAAAGCTACTATATATGGTCGGATAAGATGATATAACAAACATTTTATGCCTCTTTCTTCCTTAGCCATTGTTCGGGCTCTTTTTAATGAGATTTTGGAGGGAAATTGTATTTTAGAATAGTAATTTTTTGAAGAATATATGGTTAAAAAAGAATGAAATTTTTTGAATTTTTGTATAATATTATTTTATTGAAAAATGTGTAATTAAAAAGAATAGAGAAAAAAAATATAGTTTAGATATAATGAAGCCCAACAAGAGGCTTAATCTTGTCTAGATCAGTATTATAAACAAGTCATAAGTGTTTTAACTTGGTAAAAGATTAATAAATTTAGAATTCTAATATGGAGGAAATTTTGATTATAATTGAAAACTACAGTGTCAAAGAGTGCTACAAAGATTTAAATTTTACATATTTTGCTAGAGGAAAATGGTATTAATTTCTAGTGGCATATTTAATAAATAGACAGGATAAAAAAGACTTAAATCTCGTTCTTTTTAACTCATTTTACACACGAAACTTGTAGATATAAAATAACTCAAATCGCAATGTGACGATATTGAACGAAGTGACATGCTAAAATGAACCAATTGATATAAAATTAGAGTCTAAAGATCCAATTACGTCGAGGTACAATAACCGACCTCTAGTTCATGATTTCATGTCTTCACCAATGATCACAAATGATGATGTAAAAAGTGAAAAAAGCAAATACTTTACCCAAAATGACAATAATAGTGTTGGAGAATCTACTACAGACAACATAATTGGTGGGTAATCTATCACATTTCAAAAAAGCCAATCTGTACACTCTTTTGGCGCCAACCCACCACCACCCGGCGGCCGATTCTTTCCGGCCCTGCCACTCCATCTCTTTGCTTCTTTCCATTGGTTTCTTGATTGTAAAGGCTTCTTTTTTTCTCACAAAAATTTCTGTCTGATATACTTGTGCATATGTATAATTAAAAATCTAAATGTTCAGACTTCATGTTTTTGCAGGATTTCATTTCAAGGTTTGTTTTCTTTTTTGGCCTTCACATTTTATCGAGTTTCTCTTATTTTTCTAAAATGTGAAGGTTTATAATTCATTGTTCATTGGGAATTCCAGTAATTATTGTTCTGGGACAGTGAAAGGAATTCTACTTTGCAGTGAAATCTTGGTTTTTATCCTTGAGAAAAGAAATAAATTTGAAAATTGGTGGTGTTGTTTTGATATGGGGAATAAATTGGGAATGAAGAGGCAAGTGGTGGATGATAAGTACACGAAGCCTCAAGGATTGTACCAACTCAAAGATGTGGACAAAAAGAAACTGAGGAAGCTTATTCTTGAGTCAAAGCTGGCACCTTGTTACCCTGGTGATGATGAATGTGGTTGCGACCTTGACGAATGTCCCATTTGCTTCTTGGTACGATTCTCTATCTTTGTCTTCATTGTCATTTTTTTTTCCATTTTCTATGATGTGATTGCATTTTCTTATTGCTAAAAGTGAAATTTGGTTCATAGGAAATGATTTTCTTGTATTTGTGTGTTTATATATTCACCTTTCTGGACTAATTTAGTGGTTATATGATTAATATTCTAGTATAGAAAAGGAAGTTGCATTGGCTTAAGATTAATTGAAGAGGTTTTCAATAATTGGTTTCGGCTACTAATCTTGCTCAAGGAGGGTTGGAGTTAAAATAATTTTCCAGAATCTGGTTTTTTATCATTGGACGGTTAATTCATAATTCTTTTGATTGACCAACAATTGATACTTGTATTGGTTCTTGTACTTTTCTGAGCTAGAGCAATATGTGGTAGGAATTAAGAAGGCATGTTTAAGTTCACGATGTGCGACAAGTTACATCGTATTACATGTACGAAATATTTTCCTTTTTAATGTGATTTGCCATTCTTTTGATATATACTTTTGTTCTGGATGTTATCAGTACTATCCAAGTCTTAATCGATCAAGATGTTGCAAGAAAAGCATTTGTACAGGTAAATCATACATGAATCGCATTTATTTCCTAAATTTGGTCATCTTTGTAGTTCTATGTGGTTAAATTTCTAGAAGTTGACTCTTATAATTTTGATTTTTCCATGAATTAGAGTGTTTTTTGCAGATGAGGAGCCCTAATTCTACCCGACCTACACAGTATCCTTGATTTGTATTGATTGGAGTTATGTCTTTATGTATGTGCCTCTCAGCATTCATCAATGTTTTGTTCGCACTGTTATTATAAGTTGTTATTTTCTTAATGCCTACCCTAACCTTAAAAGGTGTCCTTTCTGTAAAAACTTAAACTATGCTGTGGAGTATCGAGGTGTTAGGACAAAGGAGGAGAAATGCTTGGAGCAAATTGTAAGACTCATGTTATCTATGTTATCCTGAATTAGATCTCTCTCTCTCTCTCTCTCTGTCACTCTGTGGGTGTATCCAACAACATTCTATGCTACTGAACTTTACTTATGTTTAGGAAGAACAACGAGTTATTGAAGCCAAAATAAGGATTAGAAAGCAAGAACTTCAAAATGAAGAGGAGAGATTACTAAAACGAAGAGAAATTAGCTCTTCAAGCAGTAGAAGAAGACCAAGTGAGGTTGACTATTGTTCAACAGCAGGTATATGATATGAGCCTGATTTAGTGGCTGTAGGTTCACTTGCTCTGTCTTCACTTGTCTTCCTGTCTGTCTGCAGAGCCATCCATTGCTTCTTCTGTACACAAAGAGGAAATTGTTACCTGCGAGGAGTCGCATGTTGCTTTAGCAGTAACACAACCTTCACGTCCAAGGCAAAATAGGTATGCAACTATATGCATTATCAACTTAATTTTCGGCGTGTTCTAAGTTTTGACGTATTTCATCCTTAGTGGTCTTTGATCACGCATTCTGAAAATATATGGACGTTGACAAGTGGCTGCTTATATAGATCATAATTAGCTTAAGAAAAGAACTATTTTTGGAAAAATGTCCCTTCTTTATCTTATCAGTTTTAGTGGATGGATGTCAGCAGAAGCTTTCTAGCGATTTAGTTGCAGCAAGTTCCATATTGTCATTGTACATTTTGGTTTGGATGCATTTGGATATCTTCTATAGTATCTAAAGAAATAAATTGAGGAGAAAACGGGATTTCCACCATATGATGTTCTTCTATGAAATGAGTTAGTTTTTTCATGTTTATTTTGCTGCAAGTTACCCAATTTGATCTCAAATTAACCTGAAAGTTAATACTTTTAGCTGATCTTCATCTTCTAGTCGTGCGTCTATATCAATTTAAGCATCTGAGTTCTCAATTCAACTTCCGAATGGATTACTAGGAAGTTAGCTTGTTCATAGGATGAAGCTAACCTGAGGTTGAGTGTCCAATATATTAAGCTTATCTTTCGGCCTATAGTGCAAATCCTGTTTATGTGAATGGAGACTCCGGAGAATGTTCAGGAGCTTTTGATGCTCCTTTAGCATGGTGGCACAGTCCCATTTTATGTTGTACTTTGTGAGTTCAGAGGCTACACTAACATCCAATAGGCCCCACTGCTGAAGATAAGAAGCACGGATACGTGTGAACTTGTTGCACTTGGATACATTTGGACATGCTCTAATACGTACAGGATACAAGTTTTTCAATTATTTTATATTCTTTATAATATTTAAATTTCACCTTACGAGTTGGACACATCAGTACACCTAAAAGAAGAAGATTTTATTTGTTTTAAACTCTTTAAAACTCATTATTATTGACAATAGGTGACAGTTTTATTACATAATAGATAACTATTATTATCATTAATAATTAATTGAAAATAAATAATATCTATTCGTTAGCAATTTCAAAGAAAGTAAACGACGTATTAAGATAGATAACTGCACAGTTACACTTAATATAGGTAATATATATAATAATAAATGATTGACAAATAGAGTTTTAAATTAATTGACAACTACAATTTTATTATTGAAAGTAGATAATAGTACTAAAAACTTTTAATACATGTACAACTGTATTAATAGTTGACAACTGATTTTTAATGTTAATGAATAAACTGATGGTGGTGGTGATGTTGAAACAAATGAATTTGGGACTATTGAGATTTAAGATAAAATGCTTTAGCATTTTATTTTATTTTTATTATTACACTTTTGTTTTAATGTTTTTTTATAATAATGAAAGTATGTTGAGTTTTATGATTTAGCTTATGTTAGATACTACACATACATACATACATACATACATACATACATACATATTGTTTCATATCCAAATTACGTATCCGAATTAATGCTTCTCAGGCGGAAAGGGACTGTTTGTTGATGTTGAAATATTAAACTGCAAGTTAGATCGGTTCAATTTTAGAAATTAGATACTATTTTCACCTTTCATCTCTCTTTTGAAGACAAACAAAAGACCTTGAAAATCTTTTCATGCTATTTGTTGACCCCGAAAAATGGCCTAAACACGTGGCCAACAGAGTTCTTCCACGTGAGCTCCTCCCTGAGCGTAGGAACACATCGTTAGTCGCTTGTGGCCTTTTCCAATGGGGGTGGAAGCGGCCGCGAGCACTCCACAGTCAAGTTAGTAAGTTGGTAGACAAAATATGGGACGTCTGACGGTGATGTTCACCGGAATGTGATTTTTAGTGGTGGTGTATGTAGGGATGGTGATAATATAAGACTTGTGTTTCTCCTCTCTTTTCAGGGACCAACCCCTTCTATAGTGTAAGTGTGGGTATTTATAGTGGGAAGGGAATAAGAGAAGAACCGTTGGATGTGGAACACGTGGCTCTTAATCAAGGGCAATCCCCTCATAGGCATCAATCCATAGGTGGGAAGTTCATTTAATATTTTTTGATATGGTAAAGTGTTGACGTAATATTTTGGAGCCTGCCATACGTCCCATCAATCAGTCCTAAAGATTTGGTTTTTGAGATCTTTCCATAAAAGATCTTCTAGTACACAGTGTTGAAGTGGAGTGGTTGTGGTAGGAGTGATAATCCTGTTTTAGATGTCATCACTTCGGATTTAGTTTCGGTTGCGATGAAGTGATGCGGAGTGTGGGCCTTTGCATCCGCCGAGGTGGCAGATGAAATCAGTTCGTCCACCGAGTGGCGAGACGAAATCAGTTCGTCCCACGTGACGGAGGCGAAAATCAGTTTGTTCGCCATGTGGAGGATGAATCCAGTTCATCCGCTACATGGCGGTCGCATTCAGTTCGTCCCTTGACGTGGAGATGACGTGGGAGACGACTTGGGAAAAACCCTTAACACTATCCCTTCCTACCCATTCAAAAAACCTGATTTTAGATCTTCATCAATTGCAAATGCAGAACTGTTGCAATTCTTTGTTTTCAATACATTCCTTGTTAGTAAATAAAAAATAATTTTACGTTACATGAATATATGGATTAAAGATTTTGGAGTTGATTAATGAGTTAACGTTACTTTTCTATGATTATTATTAGATGATTTGCACGTCACGTCCATTCTCTGTTGCTCTCACTCTGACTTTAAATTCAGGGAGGATGTGTTTGACCTGGATCTTGAGGACATAATGGTTATGGAAGCCATTTGGCGGTCTATTCAGGTAAATATTTGAACAATCGAGCTTACCTATCATGTTCAGTCTGAGAAAATATGCCGCCTTTCGCAAGGTGCACTTACTTGGAAATTATACGAGTTTTTTAACATTTGACGCGGTTAATCCTCAAGTAAAGTTTCATAATTGCATATTCATGTGCTATCTCTAATCTTTTAGCAAGCATATGGCATAATTTACACTGAGCATTACATTCTGTTCTTTCACATTGTTGCAAATCTGACCATTAATTTTGTATTCTTGACTTTTTTGGTGGCATAATGACCTATTCTTTCTCCTTGTGCAATGTGATCGTAACAGGAGAAAGACAGGCAGCAGCATGATCCTCCGCCTGATAGTGATGCAGCTCTGTCACAAGAATGCATGGTGGAAGATCGTGTCTCATCATGGATGGCTCCAATAGTTGGATCGTCTTCATCTGGAGGTCTTGCTTGCGCAATTGCAGACCTTGCTGAACATCAACAGAAGGGCCGAGAGCCCTCAAATCAGTATGGGAAGAACATGTCTGTGTATAACATGCCGGCCTGTAGCAGGATTTCCAATTGTGAGGAACAAGAATCTGAACGTTATTTTCCTGTCGAGAGAGCCATTGTGGCGTCACCCAATAGCCAGTTGGCCAGTTATACAGATTGTGAAGAATTTGATAATAATGTTAGGTCTGCTATACGACCTGAACCAAATGAAAATGAATGCAGCTTTCGACCTGCTGTAAGGACTATTGTTCCTTGAGAGTTTTGAGGAGCAGATGGTGTTAACCATGGCTGTTTCTATCGAGGTTTGAGCCTCAACTAGTATACCGAGCATTGCATAACACTAGTTGTTCCTTGTGATTCTCTCCTTTATCTATTTTACACCTAAAAATAATGTCAACATGGAAAAACAGAATGATTGCATTGAATGAAGGTTGTTTGCTGATCATATTTTCAACAATTTTATGCACTGCAGAGTAACTAGCTTACTTTGAGTGTCTCTAAGAACGATTTTATTTTATTTTATTTTTCTTTCATTCGTGCACCATCTCGAATTTATCATCGACATATCACATATAGGCAATAATCAAAATATTCAGAGATGAGAATCCTCGGAGATTTCTAAATCAATGTTTGGGAGTATGGATTTAACGCATCACCAAAATGCACAGTTGAAATATACATTCGAAGTTGCTTCAAAATAAGTAACTTGCATATTCTTTACTGAAAAATAGTAGTAATTCTAAAATTTTGTTACGAGTAAATTTTATAAGCTTAGCCAATTATGAAGCATACCATTTTATATATATTTGACGAATCACGTGTGGGAGAGAATTTTCAAAAGAATATCATTAGGACATTGAAAGTCATATAGAAGATGGATAAACAAAATCTAAAAGCCACATATCGATAAACGTATTCGATGAGACATGGAAAAAACTAACCAAAATATTGGTAAACTGATAAAAAATATAAAAGGGATTATAGATTCAAATGCTTTAATCAAATCATTTTCTCATTAAACCCTAAATAATACTCTATGTTGAAACCAGAGAAAATAACAAAAACACAAACATACATAGATCCATGGATATCTAATTATTTTTCTGGATGGGTTGTAATCTTCCAATTGATTGATGGTCTTCTCTTGATTTTCACTCTCTGTTGATGGGGATGCAGAGAATCTGAAGAACACTATCAAAATAGGAACCATAACCATATAAAATAATGATAACTGAATAATCATTATCTTTCAGTTGTTTCAAATTGACCCTCATCAATTTAAAACAACATTCTGGTCTCTACACTATATTTCCATGAAACCTAATACTCATTAGTCAAAATACAGCTTTAACAAATCACTTTAATTGACTAATATTCTTTAAATAATAGCACCACACATTTTAATATATTATGTGTGGTCCCATATATGTTAGAATTTTCCAACATAAACATGTGGTGCATGCTGGCGGACGTGCGCCAACACACTCCATCAGGTAGCGCAAGAGCCACCAATAATGTCTTTTCGACCCTTTTATGGTTTAGACCGTTAAAAGTTGGTTTTTCGGTTAGTTTTGAGTTGTTTTTTTAATCCCAAAGAGCACCTTATCAAATAGTCACGAACTTTGTGAAGAGATGTTAAAAAATCTATAAATATATAGATTCAACATTTTTGGATTCAATGCATAGAAATAATGGAAATTCTCATCGTGTCTTCTCCCTTGAAATTGTTCTGCATAATTTTCATTCATATTTCGAAAAGTTTGTCATCTGTATATACGAAATTACCTAATATAAACCCCTCGAGTTTGGCTTCTATTCTCCTACTGTTTAGATGCATCTATTATCCTAGATGCATCTTTACTTTCTCGTGTGCATCACTGATATAGTAGGGACAGTATTGCTTTCAAGAAAGCACCATCACATGCCTTGGTGCCAAGTTTCTTCACCTTAAAGTTTAAACTTCATCTACTTTTTCACCCCACATTGAAGATAGATCCAACATCAAGGCAGTACCAAACAATGGAGCTATTTTGCCCATTAATTTTTTTTTTAAATGCAATTAGGAAAGCACAATTCGATATGAATTTAAAATGAAATAATTATAGTTTTACCTTACAAGAAAATGAGAAAAGATGTTGTGAAATGTTAAAGTTTACACTACCAATAAACAAACAGCCTAACAAATTCATGGTAAATACACAGCACGATTGGGTAGTACACAGCACAATAGGCAGTACATGATTAGAATATAATTTGTTAAGCCAGCTGGCTATAGGTTGTTATGGAAAATAGAATATCCTCTCTATGCTCTCTGTATATAAGGTAAGCTAGAGAATGTAATTTGTGTGGAGTTTTGTAATTCTTTCTATTATTTGAAGAGATAAATTCTTGGTTTCTTTCTTGGTATTAGAGCTAGAAAATGGCAAACACTGATTCAAGTGACCAAACCTCGCCAAGCTTAACACCATCTGTTCAAGCTGGTATTATTCAATCTTCACCGTTTGGAATGAACCTTACTCAAACACCTGCAGTAAAACTCGACAAGAATAATTTCTTGTTATGGAAGAACATGATTATGCCAATTATCAGGGGGCATAATCTTGAAGGCTTCTTGCTTGGAACAAAAAAATGTCCAGAGGAATTTACAGCAACACAGACAACTGTGAATGAAGGAAAAGCCATAGACATGGCTCAGAATGCTGAATACAGCAAGTGGATCTCCACTGACCTGCTACTCATGGGGTGGCTATACTCGTCTATGACTCCGGAGATAGCTATGAGAGTTATGGGAAGCACCAGCTCCAACAAACTGTGGATAGCAATTGAAGAAAGCTATGGGATACTGAACAAATCAAGAATCGTATTCCTCACTGGTGAGTTGCAGAGAACCAGAAAATGACCTATGACTATGGATCAATACCTCTTCACTGTCAAGCAACTGGCATATAATCTTCAGATAGCCGGAAAGCCAGTAGAGCATGGAGACCTTGTCAACCAAGTATTGTCAGGTTTGGATGAGGAGTATACTCCCATCGTTGTTCAGATAAACAGCAGGGAAAATATATCATGGCATGAACTTTCCTCTGTTCTAATGACCTTTGAGAGTAGGCTTGAATACCTAAATCAAGTCAGAAGTAGTTTTACATCTCTCAATATTGCACAATCAAGCGTGCAACTCGCTCAAAAAACAAACTCAGGAAGTGGCAGATTTTCTAGAGGAACCAGCAATGGGAGGTTCATGAACCTCAGAGGAAGAACGAGAGGTGGTAGAGGCAGAGCAATAAGATCAGGTGATAACAAAGGGCCTTGCCAAATCTGTGGCATGACCAATCATACAGCAAATTGGTGTTTCAATAGATATGATGACAGATTTATGGGAAGCAGACCCACTAATCAAAACCAGCAGAATTTCAGCTCAACTCCTGCAGCATATGTAGCAACACCTAAGGTATTTGAAGAGTCAGCATGGTTTGCTGATACTGGTGCTAGCAACCATGTCACACCAGATAAAGGTAATCTGTCAAATGCCCAGAGATTTGAAGGTAATGAAAAGTTACTTGTTGGTAATGGAAAATGTTTGCAAATCTCACACATTGGAAAAGGTGCTATTCCTTTACCACATAACAGAAATCTTGCACTAAACAAACTACTCTATGTTCCAGAAATTAAAAAGAAACTGATTAGTGTTTCTCAGTTCACAAGTGACAATAATTTATTCATGGAATTTTACTCTAATTATTGTCTTGTAAAGGACCTGGAGACCAAGAAGACGCTGCTGCAGGGAGTGCTTAAGAACGGGTTATATCAACTGATGCTCTCAAGTCCTACTTCAAAGCCTTCATCTAACGAGTCAGCCAATCAAAATAATTCCAACTGTCTTGCTGTGAGTTCTAGTTGTGAAGAGTCAGTCAAAACTGTTAAGTTACCAGAGTCTGAGATTGAAGCCTGGCATAGGAGACTAGGCCATCCTTCAAATCGCGTTTTGAGTCAAGTTCTAAGGTCTTGTAATAAAAACTTCAGAGTTAATGAAATCTCAATTTTCTGTGAGTCATGTCAAATGGGAAAATCACATGCATTACCCTTCAAAAAATCACCATCACATGCCTTAAATCCACTGGAGTTAATCCACACAGACGTGTGGGGACCTGCACCACTGAAATCTACCTCAGGTTTCAGATTCTATATTATTTTTGTGGATGACCATAGTAGATTTACATGGATCTATCCTATGAAACAAAAGTCTGAAGCCTTGAACACCTTCATCCAATTTAAAAATTTAGTTGAAAACAAGTTCGAAAGAAAAATCAAAGCCCTTCAATCTGACTGGGGACGGGAATTCAGAAATTTTAACCAAATTGCCTCTCTCTCTGGGATTGAACTGAGGCATTCATGCCCCTACACATCAACTCAAAATGGTAGGGCAGAGAGAAAGCATCGACACATTACTGAAACCGGCTTGACTCTGCTAGCACAAGCTCAAATGCCCCTATTCTACTGGTGGGAAGCCTTTAAATCAGCAGCATTTCTCATTAACAGGCTGCCAACACTTGTTCTCAATCATAAATCACCTTTTGAAGTTCTCTATGCTAAAAACTTTGACTATAAGACTCTTAAAACATTTGGCTGTGCATGCTATCCCTACCTCAGACCTTATCAAAAGCACAAACTCAGTTTTCACTCCCAGAGAAATGTGTTTCTAGGCTATGGTGATTCACACAAAGGTTTTAAGTGCCTAAGTCCTAGTGGAAGAGTCTATGTTTCCAGGCATGTTGTATTCAACGAGTCTATCTTTCCCTTTAAATCTGGTTTCTTAAACAAAACCTCTCATCAACAACACACTCAAACAATTGTCAGTTTCCTTCCATACAAAAACAAATTCAATGAAACAGAACCTTCTAACACAGCTGATGTAACTCATCTTGATGCACCACCTGCAACAGCTTCATTCAATGGAGAACCAGTTCCTCAAGCTGAAACTGAGTCACAGAATAACTTTGGTGATGAAACACTATATCAAGAGAGTGGTGTTCAGCAAAGTCCTGATGTCAGTCAAAGAGAAATTGAAACTCAAGGTGTTGAAGATGATTACGTTACTGAAGATCAAAACACAACCATGACTGGTGGTCATCACATGATTACCAGAAGCAAAGCAAGAATCTTCAAGCCTAAGGTATATATCAGTCAGACACAAACAGATTCTGAGCCATTGACAATTGCAGAAGCAATGAAAGATCAAAATTGGAAGAGAGCAATGCA